ACACACACACACACACACACACACACACACACTTGTTTTTATATACTTGTGGGGCCCATCCATTGACTTACATTCATTTTTTGGTAATTTTATATCCTAACTCTGACCACAAACTCTAAAACTAACCTAAACTCAATTCACACCTTGGTCCTAAACCCAACCCCCACACCCAAAATCAGCCTCTCCAGGCTTTGGGCCCCACAAGGAGCACCCGGTCCCCACGAGGCTGCATTTTCCTTAAAACTGGGCCCCACAATGTAAGAAAAACAAGGCCACACCCACACACACCTCTTCATACTTCTACATGTGTTGGTACTCCTGCATGTTTAATCCTGTGTATTTTTAAAYGACACCAGGCTGCGACATGGAGCTGATGGAGGACATTAAAGGCCTGACAGCCGGAGTCTCCAGCCGCAAAAGAGGCAAGCGTCGTTACTTCTGGGAGTACAGTGAGCAGCTCACTCCCTCCAAACAGGAGCGAATGCTGAAGCCGTCTGAGTGGGACAGACATACATTGCCTAGCAACCTATACCAGAAGAACGGGCCTCTTCATGGTATATATATATATATATATATACATATATACATATATACACACACAAACACCCACACACTCCTATAAACTATACATATCCAGCTATACCGTTTACTTTTACCATAGGCCAACAACAGCTGTAGCTTTATAAGAATCTTTACAAATATTTGACACAAAATCATAAAACCTACAAATTAACAAAAGTGTTAAAATAAAGAAAAAAGGCAGAGAACTTTATTTTTATCAATAATAATGGCTTCATAATTCTGAAGTTAGTCTTTTTTATTTGCCTGGTGAAACAGCATGCTACATTGACTTCAGATACTCMACACAAACACACCCAAGCTGAGATATTAGCTGTGACATTCAGGTCATCTCTAAAGGTTTTGTTTGGTCTTGTTACAAAGGAAAGTACATGCTGAAGAAGTCTCGACGCACCGACGTGGAAGACCTAACGCCGAATCCTCGCAAGCTTCTGCAAATCGGCACMGAGCTCCGCAAACTGAACAAGGTGATCAGTGACCTGACCCCCGTCAGCGAGCTGCCGCTGACCGCACGGCCGCGGTCCCGCAAGGAGAAGAACAAGCTGGCGTCCAGGTAAAACCGTTAGGTGTTTGTTTTATGACCGGGGCTGTTCGGTTGGTTAACACGAGTAACCTTCAGGCAAAACCTGCGTGTGTTTCAGGGCTTGCCGTTTAAAAAAGAAAGCTCAGTATGAAGCTAACAAGGTGAAGCTTTGGGGACTCAGTACAGAGTATGGTGAGTTTTTGTCATTTTTCTCATTCATGTCTTTATAGTTGTTTGAAATATTATCTTTTTAAATGTCCAGGTAAAGATGATTTTTTGTGTATCTTTTGTCAAGTTTTATAGGGAACATAGCKTGCAAAATACACTTTTTTTAGMTGTTCAATRCATTTTGTTGTGTGCTTGAAGTCTCTGGAAGTGCAGAAAGTTAGAATGTAATCTTTTCAGGTGTTGTGTAGATAACTTTATTTGTTCAGTTTTCTCTATTTTCTATGTCATTTTCTAAACTTACATTACGGTATTTGCAACCAAACTGCCAAAGCTGTGTGAAGTGCCTCGTTTGGATTTAAGAGACAGCCACAAAATGAGTTGATCTGAGACACACCTCAGAAAAGGGGAGTTATAATAAGGAGGAATTCAGACCAAAGCATTGCAGTTCCACTTTATATAGACCCCATCTGAATGATTTAAATGTGAAAAAGCAGAATTTAAAAGCAGAGTTATTTTATAAGCTATCACCAGCCTTTTTTAATTATTATAGTTAAACTCTCTGATCTGAAAAGCTTTGTCAGTAATTATTTTGTGTTTTGAGTTTTATTTGAAGTGTTTAAAGAAATGCCTCGTTTTTTAGATCGTTTACTGTTTGTGATCAACGCCATCAAGGAGGAGATCATGCAGCGAGTTGAAGACTCTTCGCCTCGTCAGACCAACATGACAGAGACTCTGGAGCGGCTCATCAAGGAGWCACTTGGTGAGAAATAAAGATGTGGATGAGAGAAATGTTTAAAGGGGGGAGGTATAATACA